TAAAATGCATGGAAATTTTACACAAAAATATTAAAAGATATGGACGTTTTGTGCTAAATACCCAATAAGAAAATACTATACTTACTTGTAAAAGAAAAAAAATTCATTTTGAGAATTTGTGTTGGAAGTTGAATTGGAAGAGAGTTGGTGTGGGTTTTGAAATAATAATTTTTTTTTGTATATTATTTGGATCTAAATTAAACTACTTGTACACACAAAGTGTACATTTTGACTGACACTTTTCATATGTCAAAAATCTGACAGTTAATTGAAAAATACGTTGTCAAGATCAACATACCAAAATTTACAAACTTGTATAGATGTAAGTCATTGTATCAACATTTACACACATGCATTTTGGTCCATAATATTTTTATCCCATCCGTAAATTATGCGATCTAAGAAGAGGGGACCAGAAATGGCAAATCCGAGTCATAAGTAAGAGACACGGTAGAGTTGCTACACCTTGACAAGTGTGCAATTGAGATTACACGCGTTCCTATTTCCACTCTTTAATGCTCGTTAGTTACCATTTCATCTCATGTTTACTCTCCATTTCTCTCATCATCAATCTCATGGGTTCAGAAACATTTCTTGAAGTGATATTGGCGATACTTCTACCACCCGTTGGGGTCTTCCTTCGTTATGGCTGTGGAGTAATTTATTGCTTCTCTCTTTTTAAATTTATTTTTTTCTCCGATTTAGTCCTTGTTTGATGAAAATTAAAATCAATTTTATTTTTATTTTTTAGATTTCGATAAGTTGATGAAATTTAAAGTCAAATTTAAATTTTAACAGCATATTTTGTATATTTCATAAGCACTGTCCCCCCTGTTCTCACTCATTTTCTGTCTGCTTATTCATCACTCATCTTTTGAAAACTAACATTTTGGTAAATGTAGTTATTGTGTGAAAAAGCCTTTTAGGGCCCGTTCGGTAAGGATTAAAATCTGATTAAAATTGAAAAAATAACCGTTATTGTTGACTTTTATTAGATGAGTGAGACTTAATAACGACCATATTTTCAATTTTAATTGGATTTTAATCCCTACCGAACGGGGCCTTAGTCTTGCAATATGTGTTAGATAGTTCTCACTCATATTAAATAATAAAATAAAAGTCAATTGTTTATGATATTTCATTTCTTTCTTCTTTTTAAATTCACTATTTTCATATCCTAATAAAATAAATTGACACGTAACCTAAAATTTTTTCCTTTTTTTAAATCACACATTTTTCGAAAAATAGCTGTTACAAAATCTACCCCCTCCAAAAATAAAATAAAATAAAATAAAATGATATTTTGATTAACTTCCTTTTGTATTGATGTAAGAAAAATAATGTAGGGTGAAATTGAATAATTTGATTTCTTTGGGGTTTGCAGGTGGAATTTTGGATCGACTTGTTGCTGACACTATTGGGATACATACCGGGAATTATATATGCAATTTATGTGTTAGTAGTATGAAGCATGGTCTGTATCATAATCTAATGAAAATACATTGATGTGTTTTGAATTTTTCTCTCTTCGGTAGATATTCAAATTTAGATTTCAATAATTAATTTTAATAACATATTTTATGGAACTTACAACTTTTCAATAAACAGTGGTTATACATCCTTTATGTTGGAGAACTTTTTCTTGCATTGTAAAAGGACGTTAAAACATGTACAAACACGTACAAGTTCATACTTGTCCACAATTTTTTCTTGTAAAATTGTACTGTACAACTAGAGGGACGGGGCGAGTTGAAGAATCTGCATATTGGATTGGCTCACCTTAAAATAAATCTTGCTATATGTACAGAAAAATTATACAGAATAGGTACATGAATTTGAAATGGAGGGAATATATTCAAAATGGGAAGAGGGAAAACAACACACAGAAGGACATGATGCTACCATTCAAATTCCTGTTAAAATTTGTAAGTTATTCCCTGTACTTGCAGCATTTTTCCCTTAAAATTGGGCAAGGATTGCAATCCAATAAATCTGTCAAATAAGCACACTGGATACCACCTTTTAAAGATGTTAACATTGTAGACATGGTACTTACATGTCATCGGCTTACCCCTAAACTGTATTTACTTTGTTAAACATGTTATCATGCTACTTTTCTAGGCTGTCTCATGAAGAGAAATGTACACAATTTGAGCCTATTAGTCAAACTGTCAAGTTTGTTGACTCGATTCACTGGTTTATTTACAAGCATCGACTTTCTACTTATGGGGAAACATTCGTTTGAAGAGAATCACTAGATTTGGCTTGGATTTTGCTATGTGTACATAGCAAAATCCGTAGGAGCGTCCATAATAGATAAATGGCACCCCCCTATTAGGGGGCGTCTGTGTCGGGGTGTCATTTGTCCATTATGAACACCCTTGTGTACATTGCTATGTACACAGCAAAACTCATTTGGCTTTGGGATATGAGGTTTAAGGCTTTCAAGGGCTCGTTTGGCCGATGTTTTGATCAATTACAAGTTCTCAACTTCTCATAAATATAAAGTCATATCTTCAATCTTTTCTATGTGAACCCGTAACCACTTTCAACATTGTGTTTGCGGCATAACACCTAATAGAAAATAACTACTTAGACACAAATGTCTAGGCACGTGGCTATATCTCTTTGAAGGGGTAAAATTTTTAAGTGAAGATTTTTTTTCACCTAAAACCAAATGAGAATTGTTCCGCATACGTTAATAATGACTCTTTTTTGGACAATTTTACTCAAGTTAGAAACATGTATGCTTTTCTTGATCATTTAACATCTAAATAAATATTTTTCGTCACGCAGATACGATGTGCTCAGTGTTAAAAACTTGAGGACAATGGTGCCATAAATGAAAGATCAAGGACAGGCTGCCAGACTTGTGGAAGGTTGAGATTCTTGGAGGAATTTACTTTCAAGTAAATGCAAATTAGTTAGGGGCTATTTGATAGCCCAAGATTTTCCATGGAAAATGGAAAACATTTTCCAACTTTGCATTTTGCCTTGTTTGATGCAAAAACTTTTTCATGGAATTACTTTTCTTGATTTGGTTCACGGGGGTGCAATTTCATTGAATTAGTGGAAAACCAATTCCCACCAATTTGGTGAGAGCTGGTTTTCCAGCCAACTTTTTTTTTTCTAATTTTTTTTGGAAATGGAAAGAAATTTTATCTACAATTGTGAAAAAAATTTCTCTTTAATAGACAAATTCTATGAAAAACAAAGTCAAACGAATACAAAAAAAAAATCTAAAATTTCAACATTTTCAGGTGAAAAATTATACTAATCAAACACAATTAATTACAATTCTCAGTAAAACAATTTCTAGGCAATTCAATTCCTTGAAATTCATTTTCTTTCCACCAATTTTCCACATTTGCAATCAAACGGACCTTAATAATCGACAAGAATTATAATCATTTACATCCATTTGAAAATTTTATAAATCAATTTATAATTGTCAAACTTCATTTTCAACCGTAGTTTCACCGAATTCACAAGTATTATTCATTTATCCATTATCAATTTTTATCTATTTATAAATCAAGACGTTTATAAATTGATTCCAAATGGAGGCTTAAAAAATACTCCCAAACATGCTCAATATAAAGTGGTATAAATTCTTGATTTCGAGTCCCATCTCGCTTATAGAAAGAAAAAAAATTCTTCACTTTACAAAGTCTATCTGCGAAGGATGTTAACAAAATAAAGAGAAATAGAAAAATATACCGTTTTATCAAAAGATCAATTTTTCAGATAATACAACATGAAATCTCGGAAGCAAGGCAGGTCGTCAACGGCATACACTACGCATTAGCAATGGAGTAAGGATGGTGGATAGTAATAGGTTGGGATGCATTAATTATCCTCTCTCTACTTATCGGACAGAGAAAATGATTCGGATAAATAGCAGTAAATGTTCCATTCTTGAAACTTGTTGAACTTTTATCCTCGTTCTTTAAAAAGTGGCATTTTGGTCCTCAACATTTCATTTTGGTAAAACATAGTTCCCCAATGGACAATTTTAATCATCTTTAAAATATCTAGCTAAATTTCATTTCAAAGGAAGGTTTTACACTTATATTGATAAACAAAAAAGTATATAAAAGCAGGATTGAAAAAGAAACAGAAAATTCTTATTCTTTCTTTCTCCACGCGTTGTCAACCCCATCTCCAACACTATCGAATCCTCGTCGCATTGTCCTAATTTTTACCTTCATAAGATCTAATTTTAGGACTGCATTGCCTCGCCCCAAATGATAAACGCGACGCGGAATATGGTTCAAATTCTCCTAACTTGCAACGTTTTTTATTTTATTTTTATATTTTTGCTTTAAATTATATTTAAAAAAATAAATAATTGATTAAACGTCGGTAAGTAGATTTTTCAATCCTCGTTTCACCTCCTAAAAGTCCCCAACAACGAGGGAATGGTAATGGCTGCCTAGGTCCACTCGCATTGTTGACATCCATAGACAATGTATTTAATTCAAGAGTAATGTTATTCATCTCCAGTGGGGTTACATTTACAAACACGATTTAGGTGGCTTTAAATCATAAGTTAAATGAAATGTGAAATTAAATGACTTATTTAATTTCACGTATTATTTAATGCCACGTTAACGTCACATAGACTGTGTTTGTAACCCCGCTGGGGTGAATAACATTACTCTTAATTCAAATATGCTTGGTTAATCTTGACGTCATTATTTTTAGAAAAAAGTCTTGGTTGATCCAAATTGACGTCATTAAATTTTATTTTTCATTTTTCAATCTTTCTTTTTTCTATTTATTTTTGTTTCGTCGAACAAACTTTTAGCTAATTTATTATAAAAAAAAAGGGGAAAATTGTTCTTCGAGAATCAAAGTGCCACCAAAACAAAAGGTTGAAGGGTAAATGCGCTTCACTGCTATTTACCAAATAATTTTGACTTCTTCAACGTGGCTACATCACTACAAACAATTTGTTGAGAAAAATTCAATGGGACATTACTTTCATCTAATCCTTTGTTTGTTTGGGGAGATGGAGGTTGAGAAAGAGACAATAAAATTTACTTTACTTTACATCACATAATTGAAAATTAACACCATACATTAATTGACTTCTCTCTAGAGTCAATTCAAAACGAACTTTTCAACTAACCACTCAATAAATTTATACCAATTGCAATAACTAGTCTTGGATTTCCCATGTTTCCAGCTGGTCTACCCCAGTTAGTTTGAATACATAGGCATGGTTTGGTTATCTATTATAATGTTTAATCTGGTCTCAATTACGACAATGTACTCATCGCGTCTAAAATTTTGACTTATCATTTGGTAAGATGATCTTTATGATGTGATTTGAATTCGTGTCGTGTCGTGTGCGGGCATGTCTGTCTGGCTATATATACATGTAGAGAACTGATGTAGAAATCAAAGTAGCCCGTTCATCTCTTTCCCTCTTAACATATTCATCGATATAGACATGGATTTTCATGTGGCAGCAACTTTTTTCCCATTTGTCATATATCTTATTTTCCTCTTGTACAAGATTGTTGATAAAAGAAGGAATCAATGCTGTTACCTTATTCATTATGAGTGCCACAAGCCATCTGATGATAGGAAACTCGGCATAAAATTCAGTGGAGACATGATTGCAAGAAACAGAAATCTTGGCATTGAAGAGCATAAGTTTCTTTTGCGAGCCATTGTTAATTCTGGAATTGGAGAAGAAACTTACGTGCCGAGAAACATCATTGCATGCCGAGAAGATTCTTCCACTCTTGAAGATGCAATTGCAGAAATGGACGAATTCTTCATTGACACATTAGATAAACTCTTCGAGAAAACTGGAATTTCCCCGAAAGAAATTGATGTTCTTGTGGTGAACGTGGCGTTGCTTGCAGCAGTTCCTTCGCTCTCGGCCCGAATAGTCAGCCATTACAAAATGAGAGATGATATAAAAACCTTTAATCTCTCTGGAATGGGATGCAGTGCAAGTTTGATTTCAATCAATCTGGTTGAAAACATTTTTAAATCCCAAAAAAATGTTTTCGCATTGGTTCTTACGTCTGAATCCATTGCTCCAAACTGGTATACAGGCAATGACAAGTCTATGATTCTTACAAATTGTTTGTTCCGTTCAGGAGGGTGTTCTATTCTATTGACAAACAATCAGTCCCTGAGATGTAGAGCAAAATTAAGATTAAAATGTCTGGTTCGAACCCATCTGGGATCAATCGATGAATCACACACTTGTTGCTTGCAAAAAGAGGATGATCAAGGGCGTTTAGGGTTTTTTCTAAGCAAGAATCTTCCAAAAACAGCCACTCGTGCATTCACCAGGAACTTAATCGATTTAGCACCAAAAGTAGTCCCCTTAAACGAGCTGATTCGATACGTTATCTCGAGGATTTTTACTAAAGGAACTCTGAATCTTAAGACTGGGATCGATCACTTCTGCTTGCACCCTGGAGGGACTGCTGTAATAGAACAAGTCAGGGTGAAGTTAGGGTTAAGTGACAAGGATGTGGAGCCATCAAAAATGACACTTCATCGGTTCGGAAACACGTCAGCGAGTAGCCTGTGGTATGTTTTAGGTTACATGGAGGCAAAGAAGAGGCTGAAAAAGGGTAACAAAGTTTGGATGGTAAGTTTTGGTTCTGGTTTTAAGTGTAATAGTTGTGTCTGGGAAGTAGTCAAGGATTTGGAAGATGGTAATGTTTGGGGGGATAAGATTGATAATTACCCTCCAAAAACCATAGCCAATCCTTATATGGAACAGTATGGATGGGTTTATGAAGAAAATTTGAAGCCATCAGTTGCTCAATATGGGAAGAATAAGAATACATGAACAGAAGAATATCTTCCCTTTATGGAATTGGGGGGTGGGGTGGGTGGGGGTAGGGTGCTGCTGCGTTATCCACTGATAAGTATGCATTTCAAGATTATTGGTTAAATAAGCGATGAAAATAAATATATTTTGTATTTATTAAGGTTGACAATTTCTATATTTTACTTATGAAGAACAATAATTTTGCAAAAAATAAAAAAATAAAAAATCCTATGTACATTCTCTGATTATTGTTAAAAATAGCATAGTCAGCAAGTTGAACGTGAGAAGGTTATGAAATCGACGAGGCTTGTGAGGGACAACATATGAAATGCATCAATACAAGTTAAGCCGCCTTCTGAATTTGCTTTTTCTATTGACCCTAGTTAACTCTCTTTAAATTGAAATTCTTCATTTTTCATACTCATTTTCAATCACATATTCACGTAATAAAATATTTTTTTCTTACTTTTTAATTGAACATTCTCAAAAAATCATTATTCAAGACATCATTTTCCTCCAATAAACATCAAATAGAGGCTGAATAAGATGGATACTTATAAGTAATCTCCTGCTTAAATTCATGGAAATTATCACATTATGTTGATTTCTCTCCTGTCCTAAATGAAAAGAAAAAAGTCGAACAATTTTCCTTCAATCGAAGTATATGCCAATTATTTATCAACATGCTGATTTCTACATCACATGAAAAAAAAAAAAGATCTCCTGTCCTAAATGAAAAGAAAAAAGTCGAATAAGCAACTTTCAATCGAATTATAAGTCAATTATTTATCAACTACATGCTGATTTCTCCATCACATGAAAAAAAAGAACATGATGCAAATCACGCTACTTAGTTGCCATAGATCAATCAACAATACACAATGACGCTCCCAGATTTTGTTACCCGTACGTACGTCAAAATAGTACATAAGCGATTACTGAAAATGACGTGAAGGAAACATATTGGATGAAAAATATGATTATATTTTAAACTTACAAATGGTAGAGCATCATGTGGTATTATGTAATTCCTTGTATAAATTTTGATATACATGTAGCAAGATCCCTCAACTCCCAATGTCCTAAANAGCAAGATCCCTCAACTCCCAATGTCCTAAATCAAGACCATTTGGTCGAGTTCGAACAAGTTAATCACTCTAAGCAACGTTTTCATATGAGTTGTTTGAAAATTGCTTTTTCTATTTTGTCCATGTTTGGTTCAGCTAAAAAAGTTAAATTAAAATTTAGCCCTTGTTTAATGAGGATTAAAATTAGATTTTTGGTAGATTTTGATAAAAATTGATGAAATGTGTGGTTGAAAAGTTGTTGAACTCATGAAATATGTGGTTAAGATTAATTATTGACTTTGACTTATATAAAAATTTAGATTAATTTCTACCAAAAAGCGGCTTAAGTTAAAATCAATGGTTAATTTTAAATACATATTTCGTAAAATTCATAACTTTTCAACCACAAAAAGTCACGACTTTATATCATGTGAAATGGGAGAATTTTTACAAGACAACTTTTACAAATGCACGATCTAGTGGAGCAAAGAATAGATTCATTTGTTCAAATTTTGTCCTCCGCAAGAAATCTTTTTTAAATTTTTTATTGTTAATAGATTAGTGCTCTCACTTAATTTTATTTAAGTTTTTCTTGATCATTGATAGATCATCCAGGGTCAAGTCTATAAACAATGAAATCGCCTATAAAGACAATCAAGAACAATATAATAGCGATTGAAGTGAACCGAAGATGGGAAAACATAATGGAAAAATTAGTTAAAGCAAGTGAGATTTCGTTGTCATCACTAGTAAGTGGTTTGTTAAATATAGAAATATAATAAGGAATATTTTTCATTATATTATTTCCTCTTAGTGTAGGATTATTTGTATAGTAGTTGATTGTGTAATCTTTTATCCCTCAACTCCCAATGTCCTAAAAGCAAGACCATTTGGTCGAGTTCGAACAAGTTAATCACTCTAAGCAACGTTTTCATATGAGTTGTTTGAAAATTGCTTTTTTTTAAAACAGGTACAAACCAAATCGATTTTTTCAATTTAATTTTAAATCGGGAACAAATTACCCCTAATTTTAATCTAAAAACCATCTAAAACTATTTTCAACTACTTTACACACCAACTTTTCAACAACTTGAGTACTTTATACACCAATTCTAATTAATAACTGAAACTGAATATAATTTTAAATCTAATTAAAGATGGCTTTTCCGGCTTAAGTTAAAATCAATGGTTAATTTTAAATACATATTTCGTAAAATTCAAAACTTTTCAACCACGTATTTCATCAAATTTTAAAATTTGCTTAAAATCTAATTTTTATAAGATTCAAGTAGGGGCATCTCAAGTGATTCTTTAAACATAAGATGACATCTATTTTAAAAACTCAATTAAATACATTTAGCATTTCAATTTTCAACTGAGGAAGATAATATAATAATTTAGAGGGAGCAAATAAAAATAAAAGATGGGAAGGAATAATAAATATTTTTTGAGAATAGTAAAATTAAGTGTTAAAGATAAAAAGTTTGTTGGGAATTTCTTGGAAATGTCTGGGACCTTTGGGTCTAAAAATATTTTAAGGGGCAGTTAGAATTTCATAGAAACTTCAGTGACTGTGTGAAATTTATTCACAGACCACGCCCCAGTCCCACTAGAAGTCCCCTCCTTCCCCACCCCAACACGAACAGTACTATTATCTTTCATCAAACCCTAATAGATCAAAACTAAAATTCACAGAAGATGACAACTCCGAAACCACCTCCATTGCCGAACTCCAATGTGCTCATCTCTACTATTATCAACCTCTTGAAGTCCACCGCAAAACGCCATTCCAATTCGCCACTATATGACACTCTTGCCCCATTTGTCCCCTCCTTAACCCCACCCATTATCCACTCCATTCTTTCCTCCCCTTCTCTCCACCATTTTCCTTCAACTCTTCTATCTTTCCTCACATTGGTTCATTCTCATACCCCACATTCAGCCCCTCTACCTCTTCCCCCTCTTCTTTCGGTACTCTCATCCCTTTTAGCTCATCAGAAATTCGCGGATGCCAGAACAATTCTTCAGTCCCATATCGTCTCTGATCATCCCCACCACCATTTACATCGTCACCTCCTCCACCCTGGGCCGTCCCTTCCGCCCCCATCGAAGGCCCTCTTGGATACTTCTATTTCGGCCTACTGTCACTCGGGGTGGCCCCACCTTGCTGCCCAGGTTTTCAAGAAAATGAAGCGGCATGGCTGCCGCCCCACCCTATTGACTATCAACACTTTGTTGAACTCTCTGGTAAAGAATTCCTCCTCTTCACGGTCTACTGATTTTTGCAAAGAATTGTTTAATGATGCTTTAAAACTTGGTGTGGCCCCAAATGTCAATACTTGTAATATTTTGATTAGTGGCTTTTGTTTAGAATATAAACTTAAGGAGGCAATTGAATTTTTGAAGAATATGGAGAGTAAATTTGGGTGTAAGCCGGATAATGTGAGTTATAATACGATATTGATCACGTTATGCAAGAAGGGCAGATTGCATGATGTGCGTGATTTGTTGTTCGATATGAAGGAGAAGAGGCTTTCGCCTAATAGCAGTACGTACAATATTTTGGTTCATGGGTATTGTAAGATGGGGTGGTTGAAGGATGCTGCTAAGGTTATTGAGTTGATGAGTCAGCATAACATTTTCACGGATACTTGGACATACAATATGTTGATTGATGGATTTTGTAAACAGGGGAAGATTGATGAGGCATGTAGGTTGAGAGATGAGATGGAGGGGTTGAAATTGTTGCCCGATGTGATCACTTACAACACGTTGATAAACGGGTATTTTGAGATGAAAAATAGTTTTGCAGCTTTCAAGTTGATCGAGGAAATGACAGAGAAAGGAGTGAAGCCCAATGAGGTTACTCATAATATCTTGATTAAGTGGTATTGTAAGGAAGGGAGGATGGATGAAGCTAGCGAGACAGTTAGGAGGATGGAGAAAAGCGGGTTTTCACCTGATCGTTTTACCTTCAATACTTTGATTAGCGGGTTTTGTAAGGCAGGAAATTTCTCTGAGGCATTTATGATGATGAATTTAATGGGTGGGAAAGGTTTGAAAATGGACACGGTGACACTGAACACTGCTCTGCATAATCTGTGCCAAGAAAGAAAGGCTAATGAGGCATACAATTTACTCAACATTGCTCATAAGAGAGGTTATATCTTGGATGATGTGAGCTATGGCACTCTGATTGTTGGGTATTGTAAGGAAGAAAATTTGGATAGAGCTATGAGGCTTTGGGATGAAATGAAGGAGAAAGAGATTATTCCGGGTATTTCTGCATATAATTCTCTAATTCTAGGCTTCTGCAAGTCGGGTAAAACTGACCAAGCGATAACTAAGTTGAATGAATTATTGGAGAGTGGGTTGGCTTCAAATGAGACTACATACAACACAATTATTCATGGGTTCTGCTGGGAAGGGAATCTGGAGAAAGCATTTCAATTTCACAACAAGATGGTTGAAAAATCATTTAATCCTAATATCTATACATGCAACATTCTTCTTCGTGGGCTGTGCAAGGAAGGGATGCTTGAAAAAGCAATAAAGCTCTTCAACACATGGAATTCGAAAGGGAAACAGATTGATGCAGTAACCTACAACACCTTAATAACGGCCCTATGCAAAGATGGGAGACTCGAGGATGCTTTGGGCCTTGTTGCTGAGATGAAAGAAAAAGAACTATCTCGAGATAGTTATACATATAACGCTCTTGTTGGTGCTCTTAAGGATTCTGGAAGAGCTAAAGAAGCAGAGGAGATAATGTTAAAAATGATAGAAGGTGATAAATCATCTCAACAGCCAAGGCACATGGATGAACGACAAGATGTGTTTGCTGGTGAACCTTCAGATGAATCAGATTCAAGTTCTATAGCTTACTCAGAACAGATTAACGAGCTTTGCACTGAAGGGAGATACAAAGATGCCATGCATATTTTTGGAGAACTGAAGCAGAAGGGCATCACTGTAAATAAATCCGCCTATATTACTCTAATGAATGGACTGATAAAGAGGAAAAAGAGTACATTGAAGGCATTTTGATTGTTTTTTGTTGGTTACAACCCTTGGCTGTGTCAGATGCATGCTTTCTTTCACACGATCTTGGCAAATGTGCATCAGGCAACAACTCCAGGTATATATATTTTTCTCTTCCTTTCATTTGAGAGAAAATCATTAAGAATGATCATTTCATAAGAAAATCTTAAATTGTGCTAAGTGTTTATGATTTTTATGCACTAGATATAATAGTTTCTAAAGAATGATTAATATGATATAGAGCTAAATTGTTTTAATGAAATACTGGAATAATCACATTTGTAAGAGAATTTTTTGTGCCTACTTATGGCTTATTTATGGAAAATGAATAAACAAACAAATCATATATGACTACTTGCGAGTGGCGGTGAGTATTTCAGCGTATCATATAAATTTTGGTTATTCCCCTTCTTGCAACTTCATAATTTTGCATATGCTGTCCTACATTAGATCAAATTAGGAGAATGCATTAGCAGGATTTTATAAAGATTCCTGATTGTTGGTCTGTACAAGTTTATCTTCATACTGTTCACATTGAAATTTGCTGCAGTAGCTGTAGGCTGCAGCTGAAGAGCTCAGTCCATTTAGCAACTTGACAGTGAGTGAGTCATGCTCAGAATGAACTATTAACTCTGCAATAATAAATGCTTTAGTGTGCAACTCCTTTCTTGGTTTTGGGAGTGTAGTTCAACAACAGGTTTGTGGTGCCAGAAATAGTCTGATAGGGTGATCCGGGAATGTGTTGCCTCTAGCTCAACTTCTATAGAGGTTATCGAACAGTGCTTTAGCTGCCAAATCTGCTGTCAGTAGTGCCTTGGTTGTGAGATACTTGATACAAGTTTTCTAGATTTCATTGCTGATGTTATACGTGACATTTTAGAGCACAATCTTGGTTTTGTATGAATTTGAAATAGTGCTATGCTTTTCTGAATTGCACCATCTTTTTTTGTATTTCTGAGAAGGTTTCCACATAGTATATGATCGAGTTCTCAATATATGTTTTGGATTGCAAACACTAACATTAATACATTATGTGTCATTGTTCAGGGCTGCATGGTTCTGTAAATAGCAATGGCGACTTTACTTGCTCACTCCCTTCTAAAGATTAGGAAGGAGATTTTATTCAACCCAACAAAATGACAACTTATGTTGATATTTTTCAACATTCTAGTTGTTTGGATCCAGAAGATGATTAAAATTTTTCTGAGGACAGTGATTTCAAACTTTATGCTCCCAACTATCTTCAGTAGCAATTGATGGAGATGTACAAGCAGGGGAACCATATTCTGCTCATACATTATTGAAAGATTTATCATCCAATTGCCTTCTGCCCCGGGAGAAGAAGTTTGGAGATATGAAGTAACACGGAGGCTTGTATTTGAGGTAGAGTGATATTAATTTATTGTTAATGGGATAATATTGCCCCCAAAATGGTAGTGGTTTCTCCATCCAAATTGAGTTACTATGTTTGACTTCAATTGTTAAATGAATTTTCTTTGGAGCCAAATTTTATAAATTTTTTTATTCCAGTTTACACTCCTGTTTGATTCTCATTATTTTCAAAATACATTTTTGTCTCTTCTTTTGAACAATTCATTCTTCAATAAAATAATATTACACACAAATTCAAAACTTTACCTTAATTTTTTAACTACACATTCTCTATCAATTTACTATTCCAAAAATCATGATGAGATTTCTCTAGTCTGGAGATGCTGTGAAAATTAGGGCTATTTTGACCAAATGGGAAACTGGATTTACGTGAGCAGATAAATTTCTTTTGAAGTTGTAAATAATATTATGATATTGCCAAGTAGTTGGCATTGCCCATTTGTCTTGAAGCTAGTCTCTAATTGTTATAGACCTTTGAACTTTTGATCACGCAAAATCACGTGCGAAGTGTGCTATAAATGTTGCCATGCTAGCATGTACTGAATATGGCTTGCAGATTATGGGCATATATCACGACTAAGGCTGACTTTATCATGTTCTTCTTGTTTCCATCCTTGTCCCTATCTTTGCTTGTGTGGAGTGTTCTGAATCGTGTATGCATTGTGAATCACTACCTAATATAGTTTCATCATTGTCGTAACAGGGATGGTGATCCATACTTGCAATGAATTGTTGATGTCTTAAAATATTTGGCATCTACAAGTTGGAGTTCAATTGTGTGACACTTGTCAAGCTATATCTTAAAACATTCTGGTTGTCTGAAAAGCTTTTTCAGTTTTCATCTGCACCTTGCTTTGAGATAGTTGATTTGGCCAAGATTAAGTTGTTCTGTTGGATATCATGCTGAAGTTGTAAATCTGATTTACTTATGCTCGGTGTAATGATTTGAAGTGTTGTATGACAAAAAATGGATTTGAGATTTAAACAGGTCTTGTTACTTGTTCCCTTTGTTCATTGTTGAATAATAATGTTCACGCCGAACATGAAAAAGAAACTTCACAAAGGTCAAGAACTGCTCCATGATGGAATGAAGGGAGTGGGGTTATAGATGGGTCAGGCACAGAGCATATTTTTAGTTCTGCAATTAATAGTAATGAAATGGGTGATTGGAAGGGTGGTAACAACCGAGTTTCTATGTCAACAGTCGCATTTTTCACAATGGCAATGGCTGCAGCTACTGGTTTAGGTTCTGTGCTGTTCTTTTTTGTGGAGCTTGATCCTCATTTGGCTGGAATATGTAATGGGATGGCTGCAGGAGTAATGTTGTCAGCTAGCTTTGACCTTATACAATGACGTTGCCATGGTAGTGGTAGTTGAATTGTGTTGTGATGGGTATTTGGGCAGGCGGCATTTTCATTTGGCTTTGCAAGAAGGTACATCCTTTCATCTCTAGCAATTTTCAGCTTTGCAATAAGTGGTGGTCTGTTAATTTGGGCACCGCTTTCTTTTCTTCATATTTGAATGAATAAATCTGTTTGCTAAGGTGAACTTTTTTTTTTTTTGACCAATTAGGGTAACTTGCATTTGCGTCTAATGTGACCAGATGTATATGAGTCAGAATTGTGTATTATCATACATTCGTACTGGTTAAAATAAGAGTTGGTGTATGAAGTACGACTGGAACTCCAAGCTGTAGAAGATAAAATCGTGAAACCAAAAATCGAAAATAATGGAGGGGTCAAGTAAGCTCGGTGAAGCATGGTCATGGTTGATGGGGATAATATAGTAAATTCTTAATGCAAATAGTGTTATATATGAAATCTATCATAATACCGTTCTTCATATTTTGAATCTTTTGAACTGATAATCTGAACATTGCAATACTTCTCTGATTTTGCAGATAACGAGTGATGGCGATGGTTACACCACTCATTCAGATAAAGTGGTTCCAAAATGTAAGTGCTTCTCTGCTGTGAGACTAGAGCAAAAGAAAATATTTAGTGGAGTTGTTCAACCCCATTGCCTATATGATTGCCTATGTGCTTGACTTGTTTTTCAAGCAGACACAGATGAAGAAATAGAAGTCTCTTTGTTGTACATAGGAAAGACAAGACCTTTGGGAAAGATCGGATGGGCATTTTGGCTAAGCTTGAAATATTGACTTGGGCACAACTTCAAGTTGAGATAATTGTTTAATATCATCAAACAAACATCTATGCCTGATGAAGTGCGAAATAAAGAAAAAATACTCTTCGCTCCCTTCTTTCATGGTTGTGACTAAAGAGGAGTGCTGTGTTTTTATTTCCGGGATTTTACATTGTTCCTGTTTTTTTTGATGTATTGTTCTTAATTTTATTCTCTTCATATGTCAACACTTAACCAAACGGGTCGAAGAAGCATAAAACAGACCCTTTTTTTCTTGGGCGCATATGACAAGTTAGCATTAAAATTATATGAACTGCTGCTTATTTTTCTGGATGCTTCATGCAGTGTATGATTTGCTAAATTTTTGCAGCTAATTGCTGCATGACTACTTCAGTAGGAATTTTTGCTTGCTGCTGCAATTTAATTATTTCTTTTAGTTCTGTAAAATATGCATTAAAAATATAGTTAATTTACTTATTTCAACAACCACGGCAATGCTTTTTATTTAGAAGTCACAAAAAATATGGAGACATGCTTGGGAACGACTTATTTTTAAGCTTAGCTGAACATGATCTATCTCAAACAATTTTAAAGTAGGTAAGATTTCCAAGCTTTTGATGCATCTTTATGAATTGAATAACATGCCTTTTTTCCCCTGTTTTTGGTTAATTGATTTCTTTGGAACTATATTTTATATTAATTTCTGTGTTCACCTTTACCCAAAAATAAGGGCATAATTGGCATGTTTTGGAAGTGTTCATAAACGGTTTAAATTATAAATAAATAGAAAGGAATGGTGGTAATGTAGATAGCAATTGTGAGTCCCTTGAAATGTGTGGATAAAAGTGGTTCAATTTTTACGAACTCTTCCCAATGTAAAAAATACTTTTGAATACAGCTGCATAGGGATAGTTTTTTTTAATCATATCTATTTCTATTTTAAAAATTGAGGCAGACAGCCCGTTCTACAGAAGAATTCATTGTCGAAAATGATACCCTCATTGACTTATATTCAGATAATAATGTCTCCAATATTTGTTTGTTAATTTTTGTTTGATTTAAGTTGCAAGAAACAGTAACATTAAATTTACAACATGCATTTCAAACAAGAAACCTCGGCATTTCCTGTTTAATCAAATTCTCTGGATTTAATACTCATTTTTGTTATTGGTATATTTTATTGCTAGCGATTAAACTCTCTGGATTTAATACTCTATTGATATATTTTATTGTTAGTTTAGGTGGACAGAATAATAGTGTTTATGCGATGGATTTTGGCAAAAGTGTCAGTTTAGAATGGTTTAAGGCTGCAACCATTAGTCCGATAGAAGGGTCGCCGAATTTTTTTATCGTTTCTATCTTGTTTAAACTGATAATGCACTCCTTGTGTATTCTATTTTGATTTTATTTATAAAATTGCGTGATTACCTATCAAAAAAAAAAAAAAGAAAGAGATGGAATAATTGTCG